TTTTTTATAGATAAAATCGCGAAATAAGAAATGCGACTTTAATTAAACTTACATGGTCTTCAAACAAATGCAACTGAACAGGAGGGTAATACATCTGATCATCATCGTCACTGTCTTTCTTGTGAATCCTTCTGTAATATAATTTGACAAAAAACAAAAGATTAGACTCAGTGGGGCCTACCTAGGAAGTATATGTTAGAATCTCACGGGCTGTATATATATATATATATATATATATATATATATATATATATATATATATATATATATATATATATATATATATATATATATATATATATATATATATATATATATATATATATATATATATATATATATATATATATATATATATATATATATATATATATATATATATATATATATATAGATATATATATATATATATATATATATATATATATATATATATATATATATATATATATATATATATATATATATATATATATATATATATATGTATATTTTTTTTTCAATATATTATTTTTGTTAATCACAAATTATATGACAAGCTGTATAAAAACTAATTACTCTTTGTGTTCCATGTTAAGTGTATATTTATACACTTAATTATACCTTTTAATTGGAGCTTTTGGTGTGTTTTAATGATAATTGGTGCTTAAAATGGCTATTATTTGTATTTTAGGTGCAAATTGGAGAATTGACAACTTTTGGGGTGAAAACTGCAAATTCAGAGAAAAAGTGGGCCAAAAGTGAAAAAAATCAGATTTCCTGCAGAATTAAAGCCCGCGCGGCCGTGCGGATTTTAAAGCATAATCTCGCACGGCCGTCCGGATGGACGTGAAGGCGCAGTGAAGGAATTTTAATTACACAAGGAAACCCGCCCTATTATATTTTTGCACCCTATTTAAAGGCCACAAGCACACAATTAGAGACATCTTTTATTTTTCATCTTTAATCTTTAGGGTTTTTATTTTTAATCTTTCTACACGCAATCAAGGAGCACAAGAACGAAGACGAAGACTTGACGAATCTTCATCATAGTTCTCCTCTTTTATTGTTATTTATAGTTTTATGATTTTTCGTATTTTTATTATGTTTTTCGTAACGAACATGCGTAGCTAAGTTTTTAATCTAGGATTTTGTTGGAACCCTATGTAGGGATTGTGAACCCTTTTTCTTGAGATTATGCAATTATGATTTTATGATTATTTCTTCTACTTGTTATGATTGTTAGTGCATGAACTTGATCAATTTATGTGCTTTATCTGTGATTATTGGGATTGACTCGACAGAGCTATTTTGATAATTAGACGGTGAGTAGAAGAGCCTTCGAGTAGTTTTCACCGGATGAGTGTGTCAATTGCATGTGGTGTCGTAGACATACAGATATCACCTTAGGTAGCCATTTACGAGACTTGTTAGTTAATGCTTTATTTATAATTGGTTTGCATAGACATATAGTGAATCGTTTATGAATAATAGACTCATAATACACGCGACAGCGGGTTATGAGTAAATTAGTGTCTCGGGTTAATAATCACGAATCATATATTTCATAATTGAGGGAATTTGGGTGAGCAATTCTTGCATAGGGGGAAGATAAAATCCTAGGTCCGTTTTAATTGATTTTTTTTCGTGTTATTTGCTTTCTTAATTAGTTTAGTTGTTTAATTAATTTAATTTGACAAACTTGCGTAGGCTGGATAAAAATCATAATTGTTAGAATTTGGTACTTAGGATTAGGTAATTTGAGTATTCCCTGTGGGATCGACATCCGACTCTCACGAGTCCACTTTTACTACTTGTTTGCGATACGTGCACTTGCGTGTTAGGTATTTAGCACCCAACAAGTTTTTGGCGCCGTTGCCGGGGAATACGGCTAAATTATCTATTTATCCTAATATCAAATTTAAGCAATTTTTCTTACTTCAGCCGTTTTATTTATTTTATTTTATAATTTTATTTGCTTATTTTATTTTTATTATTTTTGTTTAGGTACTTTTTACGGGCACCTCAAACG